GGATTACTTTGGTCAACGTGCTGTGGAAGATCTAAGTTGGGCTACTCGCAGACTACTTTGGTGAGTGTGCTGTGGAAGGGCTAAGCTACTCAGGGACCACTTTGGTGAGTGTGCTGTGGAAAAGCTAAGTTGGGCTACTCAGAGACCACTTCGTGAGTGTGCTATAGAAGAGCTAAGTTGGGCGACCGGGCGTACTGAAGTCCGAAGTTCTAAAAACCTAACAACCGACAGGCCTACGGGTGAGAAAAACGCAGCTTTTGTTGGCTTGATAAGTACATTGCAACTCTACAACTACCTTGGAATCACTTTGGTAAATGTGCTGTGGAGAAGCTAAGTTGCGCTACTAAGAACTGTGGTTGCTGTGGAAGAGCTAAGATGAGCTACTTAGAAATCAGTTTGTGAATTTGCTGTGGAAAAGCTAGGTTTAGCTACTCAGGGATCAGATTGGTGAATGTGGTGTCAATACTTAGAGGTCATTTTGGTGAATGTGCCGTGGAAGTGCTACGTTGAACTACTCAGGGATTACTTTGGTGAACAAGGATCACTTTGGCGAGCGTGCTGTGGAAGAGTCAAGTTGAACTAGTCAGAGATTACTTTTGTGAGTGTGCTGTCAAAGAGCTACGTTGAACTACTCAGGGATTACTTTGGTGAACAGGGACCACTTTGGTGCGCTACTCAGGGGCCACTTTGGCCAGTGTGCTGTGGAAGAGCTAAGCTCGGCTACTTAGGGACCACTTTGGCCAGTGTGCTGTGGAAGAGCTACTTTGGGCTACTCAGGGACCACTTTGGTGAGTGTGCTGTGGAAGAGCTACTGCTGGCTACTCAGGGACCACTTTGGCCAGTGTGCTGTGGAAGAGCTAAGTTGCGCTACTCAGGGACCACTTTGGCCAGTGTGCTGTGGAAGAGCTAAATTGCACTACTCAGGGACCACTTTGGCCAGTGTGCTATGGAAGATCTAAGTTGGGCTACTCAGGGACCACTTTGGTGAGTGTGCTGTGGAAGAGCTAAGTTGGGCTACTCAGGGACCACTTTGGCCAGTGCGCTGTGGAAAAGCTAAGTTGCGCTAGTCAGGGACCTCTTTGGCCAGTGTGCTGTGGAAGAGCTAAGTTGCGCTACTTAGGGACCACTGTGGCCAGTGTGCTGTGGAAGACCTAAGTTGTGCTATTCAGGGACCACTTTGGCCAGTATGCTGTGGAAGAGCTAAGTTGCGCTACTCAGGGACCACTTTGGCCAGTGTGCTGTGGAAAAGCTAAGTTGCGCTAGTCAGGGACCTCTTTGGCCAGTGTGCTATGGAAGATCTAAGTTGGGCTACTCAGGGACCACTTTGGTGAGTGTGCTATGGAAGAGCTAAGTTGGGCTACTCAGGGACCACTTTGGCCAGTGTGCTGTGGAAGAGCTACTTTGGGCTACTCAGGGACCACTTTGGTGAGTGTGCTGTGCCACTTTGGCCAATGTGCTATGGAAGAGCTAAGTTGCGCTACTCAGGGACCACTTTGGCCAGTGTGTTGTGGAAGAGCTAAGTTGGGCTACCGGGCGTGCTGAAGTCCAAAGTTCTAAAAATCTAACAACCCCACAGTCCTACGGGTGGGGAAAAATCTGCGCATCCACACGCAAGTTGTGAAGTGCTCTGCCAGCAGCTTCGCCCGCGCCAACGGCAACAGCCGCCACCGAAAAAAACAAACGGCTTGATAAGTACATTACAACTCTACAACTATCCTGGGATCACTTCGGTAAATGTGCTGTGGAAGAGCTACGTTGCGCTACTCAGGGATCACTTTGGCCAGTGTGCTGTGGAAGAGCTAAGTTGCGCTACTCAGGGATCACTTTGGCCAGTGTGCTGTGGAAGAGCTAAGTTGCGCTACTCAGGGATCACTTTGGCCAGTGTGCTGTGGAAGAGCTAAGTTGCGCTACTCAGGGATCACTTTGGCCAGTGTGCTGTGGAAGAGCTAAGTTGCGCTACTCAGGGATCACTTTGGCCAGTGTGCTGTGGAAGAGCTAAGTTGCGCTACTCAGGGATCACTTTGGCCAGTGTGCTGTGGAAGAGCTAAGTTGCGCTACTCAGCGATCACTTTGGCCAGTGTGCTGTGGAAGAGCTAAGTTGCGCTACTCAGGGATCACTTTGGCCAGTGTGCTGTGGAAGAGCTAAGTTGGGCTACCGGGCGTACTGAAGTCCAAAGTTCCAAAAATCTAACAACCCCACAGTCCTACGGGTGGGGAAAAAGGCCCCGGTTGCGGCCGCGTGCAAATCATGTGTCATTCTTTTTGCACACCTTCTGGATCACATAGTTGGCGTGTGGCGAGACGGCCGCCTCCTGCACGTGCCCGTGTAGCTCGCGCGTCAAGAGCGCCGCCTCGTGACATCCGGTCTCCAACGCGAGCTGTACAAGTCGACAACCTGCGGCGCAGCTGACTGCGAAGCCGTCGTTCCCGTTTTTCGACACCAAACAGCCCTGCTTGGCCCTGAAAGCTGACTGCGAAGCTGACTGCGAAAAGCTCTCGTCTACCAAAACGGCCCGAAAAAATGGTGGCAGGTGTGCCCTTTTGTTTTGACTGGTTCCACCCAAACACCCGACCTGTAGCATGCTGTGACAATTGCCATACATGACCTTGAATCGCGGCCAGTGCTTTCTGAACTTCGTCAGCAATTCCGCTGGCCAGTTGTGAGCGAAGGAGATCGCAGTGCTCCAAAATGGAGTTGATGGAGTCGCTCTTTACCTCGAGACTTCCACCCCAAACGAAGCCCTAAAAACCCTAAACAGCTGAAGTTCAACTCAAACCCAATTTCCACAAAAGTCCAAGTGGCTCTTCCCGCAGACAAGGGTGCCGTCCTCGTTCCCTCGTTGTTCCGGCTCTGCTCAGCCGCCTGCTGTGCGCGCTCGGCCGCCCGCTTCCGGCGCATCCGCCGGGCGGCGCTGGTGCTCAGCCGGGGACGTTCTAAGGGTGCGTCGTCGGCGGTGGTGTCCGTCTCCGCCGGCGAGTGCTGCCGGACGGGGCTCCGGGGGGTCACTGGAAAGCTGCTGTTGCCGTCATGGGGTGCCATTGGGACCTGCCTTGGGAAGCGTGACAAGAGTGGACAAAGAAAAAAAGAAGAATGGGGAGGTGGTTCGAGCTTTTGGGATACTTTTCGAGCGATGACATTCTAATTTTCTTCAATATCTTCAATGTCAAACAAGATCAAACAAGCACAGATTCTTCAAAACGGACTCGAACATCTAGGCCGCAAGTGGGCACCCTGTGGCATGTAGACGAGACCCTCAGGCTTGGCGTAGATGGCAGGGGCCGCTATAGCCTGGTAGGACGGGAAGTTCACTGGCCCAGCTGGCACCAAGATTCCGACGATGACCTGCAGGGCTGATCTTGGCCGTGGGGTGCTTGGCAGCCTGAGTTTTTGGTTCAACTGTCCACCCCCCCGAAGAGTCCTTGAAGTCTATGTCTGAGAGGTTCTATGGTTCTGGAGACTGCACGGTTTTCTGGTGCGCGGATTTCGCCTGCGATCTGGTGTCCCTTATTAGTGAGGCCAGCACCCTGCCTGCTGCTGCTGCTGCTGCTGTGGGAATGACTGCATTTCTGTGTTCGGGCACTCTGTCGTCATGGTCATTTCTCGAGCGTCTTTAAGCTTCGAAAAAAGGCGAGTTCCTCTATCTGGAAACTGGCTTGAACCCAAGCGACAACACCGGCTGACAGCCCAGCAGCTCCTGGTGCAAATTCAATTTCCTTCAAAAAAGAGCGGGACACCCAGAAAATCCTCCAAAACGCAGCATGACAAATGGCAGGCATCTATAAAATCCAGTCTCCACAATGGTTTCATCCGCTGAGGTGAACCTTTTATTGAAATCCGGTAATCCCTCTCGCCATCCTAGGGATTTTTGCTCGAGCCCTTTTGGAGACCCACGCATCGCACACCATCGCTGTGTCCCCACTGGACAAATTTTGCTGAAGCATGCTGAAGCTATGCTTCGGCCAGTCTTGCAAGCCCCATAATGTACCGGGAGAAAGGTCCCGTCTCAGTTCCATCCTGTACCTCAGAAACAGATGTGAAGAACAGCCAGGACAATAAAGGACACAGGCGCCATTCATGGCACTGTTGGACAAGCTGCAACGGCTCCGGCTTCCACAAAGCTCTGCCTTGGGTCAAGAAATAGAGTGACCAGGGTCAGCATGTCTATATAATATGGTGATCCCGTTGAAGAAAGTGGGCAACAACATTGCTGCTGGGTTCTAAGTAGATTCTGGTATGGTGAGACTCTATCATCCGCACTCAACTCAAAATGAGCTTTCATCCGCTTGTGGTGAGAAAGCCTCGAAGTTGTCCAAGAAGCCGCTTGGGCTTATTTGGGGTCCATCAACTACCCAGGTCGAAGTGTTGATTGGGAAATCAGGTGAACATGCGCCTTAAGAACCTCTCAGAGTCCGCAATAGAACGTTGCCCTCCGAGCAGTTTTGGTACTTTCACACCCAGTTTGATGGATTCAAAGATGCTCGAAGGTTTGCACTCCGACTTGCGAATGCTTCAAAACCACGAAAATGGTGTTCCACCTCGTCCCAAGGGGGCCATGTCTTGAAACAAAACCGAGGGCCGCACCACCAGCTGGTTGGTGTCCCGATCCAGCTTGCCATGTGCTGCCTGGCGAAGCTAACAGTTTGAGCGAGCAAACAGAGTAGTTGGATGTGAGGTTGAAGATCTGAAAGATAGGACATGAATGGACATGATAGGACGTAGAAGTACTGGCTCAGTTGGATGCTCAAGAATAACACTAGGTCACTAGGTGCGAAGCAATGCCCGCCCTACTGCGTTTCTAGCCCATGGGCTGATATCAGGGCATCTGTATTTGTGGAATGCTAATTGATGCTAATTGGTGGTGTTCAGGGGCACCTGTAATGCAAAGGGTAGGGTCCAAAAACGCACTGTAGGTTGGGCTGGGTATTGTGGTAGATCATGAAAGTATTCCGTCTCAACTCCCGTCTCATTGATTGCTGGTCGTGCCCACTGGCCTCAATCTGCTCCTGCAAAGCGATGATGGTGTTCTCCTCAAGCGAACTAAAAAGAATAATCGTCGGCGCTAGCCTACAAGTCGTCTGAAAATCTCGTGGGTTAAACAGAGATGTTGGGATTCCAAGGATCAAGCGTTTGCAACAGATTCAGCATACTTTCCGTGTGCAGTGTCGACGTCCGCAACGGAGAAAATGCTTGGAGCTCCGACTATATTTTGGCAATTTCGGGAGCCCACGACAGCAAAAATAGCATTTTTATCTCAAGAAAAGTTCGGGAAAAGCCCAAGAGAGCCCTTTCTCCTTCCCGTGCTACCAGGACTACGCAGGTGAAAAGCCAATGCCAGTTTCTGCTACTTGACTTGAACGTGGTGAAACTCAAGAGAACTGAAGAGCAATTGGAGCCGAAGTGTCCCCGAAGAGCACGCTCATTCGCCTCATCGACCGGACCTGATCGATCCTAACAGGTCTTATAACTTCGATCCTGTGCTTGGTTCGCAATCTCTTGCTGCTGCAAATGCTTCCTCACGAGGCACACAGGTGGATGGCATGTTGACATGGGGGATGCACTTTGCGCTTTTGGATGGATCAAAAGGGTAGCTTAGCTTAATGACATTTCATAACCTTAGCCCTTTCAGGCAATTCCCGCAAGCCAATCAACCTGATGCATCATGCGATGGTTCCTCGAAGTGTCTTATTTGCCCAATGCTCTTTCTACTGGACATTTGCTGTTGGATCACTTCGGAAGAGCCTCTTTAGATTTCAAGAAATTGCCCAAGTCGTTTTGTCTTGGTGATCGGACACAAGAGCACGAGCATCTCCAGCGGACGTCCGAAAAGAGCCGAGCACGAGTCGGTCCTGAGCATCTCCAGCTTCGCCTGCAACTCATGGGTCCGAGCCGACTCCTGGTGTGGTGGGGAGCCGGATGAGACTGCTGGCCAGAGGCCTTCCGTCCAGCGGGGTGTGAAGGCCTCAGAGACGAGTTCCTTTGCAAGTGAAGAGGCCATTGTCCGACATATGTAGACATCATCTCGTGCGTGTCGTACATGCATCAAGTTGCTGATCAGCAAAACAAAACAAGAAGCCCTCAATCTTTAAGGAAACTCCATTCCAAGAATCAGCTCTTCTCTCTTCTATGCCCGCGAGAACCTCTCTTTTTCTTGGGCTTTACTTGATTACTTGGATGAAAGCGACACAATATCTACCTGGTAAACGTGGGTGAGCGACTTAGGTCAACAAAAGTCACTGCAAGTCGGATCCAAGAAAGAACGCTCTCGTTCAACTCTCAGGTCCCAGGTGTTCTCCTTCAGAGCAGAGGACGTATCGGCCTGGAAGCGGGAAAACAAGGACGTATTCGGTGGATGGAAAGGCGTGGTTGCTTTGTCAAACCATCGCAACATTTGTCCATGCTCTCGTTGTGCTCATTTATATAACGGTACAGTACAGAACTTGGAGCTCTTGCAATACGCATTAATTAATATGCTAGGCTACTTCCAAGCCGGTACTTCCAAGCCGGTCCATTCTTTTGGAACCAGCGGGGTGCTCTTGAAGGTCATTCATCATGGACTCAGTCGCCACCCCAACGACTTGGTTGTATTTGGTTGTCTTTCAAAGCACATCTGGAAACTGTGGATGGAGGATGATGACAGAGTCAAGAAACCGAGTCAGGTTTCCTGACTCATGGTTTTCTGACTCTGCGGTAGGTCTTCTCCCAAAAAGTCTAGACTTACACTTTCTGGAACTGGAACACCACCAATTCATGGGGACTACATGACACTTCTAGTGCTTGTGCATAAAGAAGCCGAGACCAAAGACTTGGAACACCCACATCCCCTTTAGATCTCCACATCTTCGTGGGACGTTTCTACGCACATAGCTCGCTCCGTGTTCCGAGTCATGGCCTCCATCGGCACGTCCATGGGTGGCCCCTGGACCAAATCACGAAACTGGCAGTGCGACCATTCTGTGTGGGATTGGTTTCGGAAGTGGTCTTGGTTATCTTCCCTTTTCGGAAAGCGATGATGGCTCTTGGGGGGAAGAGATCTCTGTTCTGATCCAGGAATTCAGGACCCCATGCCCCGGGTGATCATTGAATATCATGGGTACCAGTACATCAACTGGACGATGCTGCAACCTCATCTGCACAGACCTTACAATATCTACTGGCAAGCGGCCTCAATCGTCCCTTTGAATATAGCATGGTACGACATGCTACAGCTGAGGTGCCTGGATCCGTTGAGCCCCACCGCCCCGGCCTATGACGGATCTTCCCCCTGCTGTTCTTTAAACAGCAGTGCCAGAGTCAGACCAAGTATGAACAGCCACACTGTTCTTTGAAACAACATGTCCATCTTCACAGCACCGCGACTCGGTCCTCATCCGCTTGAGCATCAAGGCGAGCCATGAAAGCTGCAATCTGATACTCCCACATGGCCTCAAAGAAATACAGTACATGAAAAGTCAAGTCTGTGTTTTCGTGTTTTTGCTTGTAAGAAAAAGAACCAAACATTTCTCAGACTATCTTCATCTTCATCTTCGCTTCCCAAGACGACACGTCTCCATCGTCACGTGACGCTGGAGCACCGGATGCTCCGCGGAGCGCACCGCGGAGCGCACCGCGTCGCCTCGGACTGGGCTTTGTTGGCCTTGTCGGCGAAGGTCGATGCCATCCATGTCTTCATCTGACCGGCCGCGTCGCTCGGGCGGAGGGAAAACCGGGAAATGAGATCCAAAGGGAAAACGGGTGCTTTTTGCGAGAAAAACAGGTCGTTTGGAAAAGTATGATAGAACAGGGAGATCCACTGGCAATGGGTTCTGAGCTTTTAATGATTGTTTCTTTTACCAGAGGTCTTTGAGATTCTTCCTATTCTGATACACACATACAAGTCACGGATGTTCCTAAATCATCGCAGGTACTGTAGAAGGTAGAAGTGACAAACCAAGTCTCTATCTTTTTGATTCTTTTTGTGCATTGCTTCATGGCAACAGCCGGCTGCTAGCGGGTGGCGCACTGGCCTGTGGCAAACTCTGCATGTCACTGGGAGATAAGGCCACGTCAAAAAGCACATCAAAATCCTTGCGGGGTCAGGCACTGACGGCCTCAGTTGGAGCCCAAATCAACAAATCCACTAATTAATCTTTGGCATTTGATGATGTCAAGGTAACCCACATATTTCGATGACCGGCCAACTGTTGCATGTTGGTGGTATTGGCAAGCTAGTGATGGTGCATCTCTGTGTGTGTGATCCAAAACCAGCCCTTGTGGATTTCGCGACACCCAGCGACCACCACAGATCCTCTTTTCGTCTCTCTTCAATATAGATCGGGCTTATGTTCTCACCATGCACTACGGTGCGGCACGCGAAGCTATGCAAAGCTCCTGCTTCAGGATGTCGGCCACCGAGCAACTCACCAAGCGTTCAGAGGCCTTCAAAAGCTTGGCCTGAGCGACGAGAACTGTGACGAGTCGCCCCTTCCAACTGAAAAAGGAACGGGCGATCAGTGATCGGTGATAACGCCATATCTTGGTGGGGGAAAGCCCTGGCGGAAGGACGCGTGCAGCTGATTTGGGAAGTGCTTCGTTCCTGTTACATGATCATCCCAGAGTGGGGATAAGTGTACCCACAAATTCTGTGTGGGAACATGCCTACTTCAGGAACTCCCAGAACTGTAGGATCATCGTCTGCTATGAAGCTCCTTTTTCAATCTTGTGTAGTCAGGCCCAGTCATCCCATGCAAGCACTGTCCACTTCGCCCAGGTTCAGAGATCTCATGGGAATCAAACACGCCCCGTTAGACACCTCGCAGCTCATCTGGGATATCTGGGATGACAACCGTTTGGGAGTCCTTGGTCGACCCTTTCATCGGTTGGTATCGTGACGCATGGGTCTTCGAGCAAGCAGACAAGCCTTTCACTTCTGTGGTCTCGGTCTCGAGTTGGTCTACTTACCAAGTCCACTTTCCGGTGGGTGCAACGTGCCATCCGTGCTTAAGAGGATGCCTGGCCACGGGATCGTCCTTTGCTCGAAGAAAACATGTCCCTTGACTCTCCACTAGAATAGGTTCCCCCCGTGTGTGATATCCAATAGCACTGAGCCTCGAGCATCCCCCCTGCAAACCTCCACCGCTCTCTTCCTGAGCCCATCACCAGCCGTGCGCCCTTCTCCACTGTCGGTCCTGGCCGGAACATCACAACCGCTTCGCTCGGGCATCCTCGCTGCGCTGCAAACGCGTGCGCGCTGCACCTGACGCCGTTGCCTTGGATGGAGAGTGGACCGCAAATGTCAAAATCCAACCCTTGAACTACTGGGGGTCACCCTGACTGATGGTTTTTGTGGAGTCTCTACTAGCCACACTGATGGTACCTAATTACATGTATACCATGATTTTTGCATGTATTTCTACCATGTCCACTAAAAAAGGAGCTGAAAATAATCTTGACTTTGGCGGCCCAACTGAGGCCCGATCCATGCTGACCTTGCTCTAGAGGCCACAACAAAGGCTGGCCGCAGAGTCGTTCGGTGGTTGTGCCCAATGGATCTCTTGTGAAACTTGCAGAATTGGCGGCTTAAGTGGCATGGCACTAGATGGTTCTGGGATTGTAGTGGTTATTACTTTTTTGCGGCTGCCTGGCTTTGGATGCTTTTGGAAGCTTGGTTTCATATGGTTGCAGCACATGAAGTGCTATTCAAGAGCTTCTTCAGCATCTGAGCGTCCCCATATGTTCTCCAGCCAAACTGCAAATTACGTCTGACACTCAAGTGACTCAAGTGCTAGTGCTTGAGTTGAACACACCCATCTGTGATCAAGCTATTAGAGCGCCAATCACTTAAACTGCTTGCGCCAGCCAAGAAGTCGGAAAATCCCTTTTCTGCTCTTGGCTTTTGCAGAGTCGATGCTTGAAAATCTGGCGGACTCAGCGTGCGCCCAGGGCGCACCACGGTGAAAATCGTCAAACGATACAGATAAAGGGTTGGAACCTCCTTGACGGTCATGCAGGATCGATTTGGCATTGGCTTCAGGATCGATTTGGCTTCCGAAGATTTAGATCCCATACATCGATTCTTGCATCTTGAAGACCTTCTCCGCCAACTCCTGCGAAGTCGTGGAGCCTTAAACACTCTACGTGCTGTTGATATTAGTGCATGTCCCCACAGGAAGTTTGACTGACTCTGAGTGCCTATGAAATCTATGAAAATCATCAAGATAAAGAATATTAAAGAATGGCAACTCAATTCCCTGTGTCTACCAAACACAAGCCATCACCTCACTCTCACTTTTGGCTCTCTTCCGCAGATCGCGTGCCACGTTTCGGCACAGAAGAGAAGTCACAAGCTCTTGATCTCCTGGTAAGCTACCTTTGTAGCTCCCATTGTCCCCAACATCTCACTGAGCTCCTTAGAGTACTCTGGTCACACCGGAGTACAGTGGTCACGTCTGGATATACTCCAACAACTCCCCACTCATGTAGTCTCTTGATACATCCTGGAATACATCCTCATTGTGTGTTCGAGGAAAGTGCGGTCCGTATGTTGAATGCTTGCTGTCGCCTAATTTTGTATGACGTTGGTGTCTGCTTGGGCTTTCTGACAGATCTTCTTTCATGTTCCAAGCAACCTTCAGCCAGTCGATTCAGAGATGATTCGCAAACGCACACATGAAACTACATGAAACTACAATTACTGAATGAGTGTCCTCTACCTGGAAGGCATTTGATTTGGGGAGAGTCTCTTCGAATTATGAGATAGAATCCTTGATTCATTGATGCGCAAATCACTCCACCTATTAAACTTATTGGACTAGGAGAGCGTAGATGTTCTTCAGATATGCTGTGATATGGTCGCTAAACTGAACCAGCCACCATGGAGTCCAAGCCTCTGTTTTTGATAAAGCCCAGTAACCCAAGCATGATCAAATGCATTCATTTTGGAGTATATAAATAAAGAATACGGGAGAATCCCAAACTCTGGCCATTGTTGCTTGGCTGTTTCCGTATGTTCTATGATTCCTTCCCGTCTTCCCGCAAGGGAACCAAAAAGAATGAACCTCCACACTCCTTTCCAGACGATCCCGTTCTTTTGTACAAAGAAAAAGGCCTCCGCCCTCTTTCTCTCTTTCTCTCTTTCTTTCTCTCTCTCTCTCTCTCTCTCTCTCTGTCTGTCTGTCTTTCTTTCTTTCTTTCTTTCTTTCTTTCTCTCTGTCTTTCTTTCTTTCTTTCTTTCTTTCTGTCTGTCTGTCTGTCTGTCTGTCTGTCTGTCTGTCTGTCTTTCTTTCTTTCTTTCTTTCTTTCTTTCTTTCTTTCTTTCTTTCT